TATATATATATATATATATATATATATATATATATATATATATATATACTGACTGCAATGTCTTAAGAATGGATTTAGTAATGAACTACAGATAGAAATGATCCCTGAAAGTATAGTCTCCAACCAAGGACAATGCATGGATATAACCTAGAACCCCTACCCGGATGTAGCCCATGGCAGCTCAGTATCCAAATGGGTCCTCCAGTAAGGGAAACAGGGACTGTCTCTGACATGAACTTAGTGTCTGGCTCTTTAACTTCCCCATCCCCCATGGGAGGAGCAGCCTTGCTAGGATACAGAGGAAGACAATGCAGCCAGTCCTGGTGAGACCTGATAAGCTAGGGTCAGATGGAAGGGGAGGAGGACCTCCCTTATCCATGGACTTAAAGAGGGGCAGGGAGATGAGGGAGAGTGGGATTGGGAGGGAATGAGGGAGGGGGCTACAGATGGGATACAAAGTAAATAAACTGTAATTAACATAAAAAATAAAAATTAAGCTAAATTAGATTAATATAAGTAACCATATTGTAAAGGTAACAACAAATGGCTATCGTGTCACAAGCACTTAAGATGTTCCAGGTGTGTTGTTAAATCTTTAATATTTATTACATTATTAAAACAACCCTGTGAGATAGATATTACTCCTATTTTATTCATACATTTAAAAAAAGCAACCCAGAGAGAAAATGACATGATCACAACCACAAAGCAAGTGATTGACAGAGCATGAAATTAAACCTGGGCTAGAAACATTTAGCCTGGAACATTTTGGGGGTGCCAGGGATAATGGTGTAATGACTGACATTTGCTAGTGTGCTGGGTATACTCTGGAACAAGCCTTGGATCTCTCACTCTAAAAACAATTCTGCATGGTAATAACTCTTGTTCTTTCCGTGCTAGAGGTATGCAGTCTGATCAGTCAGGAAACAGGTACAAGGAGAAAGCAGGAGTGAGGTCTAAGCCAGCACTTGTGGGTCACTGCTCCTTGGGGTCAAACAACTCTTTCACAGGGACCACATATCAGGTGTTGACATTATTCTTTGAAACAGTAGCAAAATTATAGTTATGAGGTAGCAATGAAAATGGTTTCATGGCTGGGATCACCACCACATGAAGAACTGTTTTAGAGGTTCACAGCATCAGGAAGGTTGAGAACCACTAGTTTATGTCATCGGATGCCCTTGGTTCAAGTCAGTCAACACACCTCTACTGGAAATGACGCCCTCTTCCCTGTGCCCACAAAGCCTGAGTATTGTCTAACAACTAAAGCTGTTCATTTTCCTGTCAGTAAAACTAACGTTCTTCTCAGGTGCTGTAGGTCAGAGCACAGCCCAACATGTCTCATTTCCTCTGTTGTTGAATACTAGGTTGTTTCTCATTTTGAAGTATAATTTTGAAATAGAAATCTTGTTAGCATGATCCATCAACTTCATTATTTCTTTGTGATGAATTCTGTTATAAAATAATGTCTTGGGCTGGAGAGATGGCTCAGTTGTTATAGGCTAGGCTCACAACCACAAACATAAAATAATGTCTTCTGCTCTTGAGGATCCTCGAGGGTAGCTCTGGGTTGTTTATTTTTTTTTTTTGTTTTTTTCAATATAAAACCAATAAGGAGCCCACAAGATGGCTCCGTGGGTAAAGGTGATTACTGCCAAGCCTGATGACTTGAGTTAGATCCTCAGAATCCACAAAGAAGAAAGAAAGAAAGAAAGAAAGAAAGAAAGAAAGAAAGAAAGAAAGAAAGAAAGAAAGAAAGAGAGAAAGAAAGAAAGGACTCATATAAGTTGTTTTCTGTCCTCCATGTTCACATCACTGCATGTGCACAATTCTCATACACAAACACATATGTATGCATACACACCATGAATATAAAAAAATGTAATGATATGTGTTATAATTTATAGTTGTCTCAATTTATTCATTCAGACTATATTCATGTTTCAAAACGTAATGTACACAATGAACATGTTTCAGTTTTACTGATTAACTAAAATTTATGATGCCATAAATATGGGATATAAACTTTTTTCTTTTTTTTCCAAAACTCATTATTGGCACATTTTTCTCAAGGATAATATCTGAGATCATTTCTTTAAAGAAATTCTATAACACAATGAAAATAACTCACGAGATCATTTCTTTAAAGAAATGATCTTGTGAGTTATTTTCATTGTGTTATAGAATTATCTGAAGGACCCCTTTATCCTGGCAAAAACATAATATGTAGGGATTTTTTTGTTTTTGTTTTTGTTTTGTTTTGTTTTGTTTTGTGTGTATATGTATTGTCTGTTTGTTCTTTGTTTTGTTTTGAGACAGGGTTTCTCTGTATAGCCTTGGCTGTCTTAGACTCACTTTGTAGACCAGGCTGGCCTCAAACTTACAGAGATCTGCCTGCCCCTGCCTCTGACTCCCCAGTGCTAGGATTACAGGCTTGCCCCACGGTGTCTGGCTAATGTCTAGGTTTTTAAACTTTGAACATCAAATAATCATCATCATATATCCAATTAAACATATAAAATATAGCAATCCCATTAGTAATGAGTGGAGATTAAATTTAAGTTGCAAAGAAATAAAATGGCACATGCAACAAATCTGTAAAAACCCCGAGTGTAGAATATAGAACAAAAGGACCTTTGGCTGCTGGTCTTGATGTAGGCACACAGCCTTTTGGTAAGTAGTTTGGCCTCATCTGGAAGTAAATGGCACACCTCCATCTCCAGGATGTCCCATTCTGACAACATCAGTAAATATATAGGATCATACTGGCACAGGTGCTCCCAAATTGAAAAGAACACCAACAATGATCCACAACAGAACAGGTATGTAAATTACCATGTATTTATGTAGTATTAAATTCAAACAAACCATGCCTGGCAATTTGGATAAATCTCCAACAAACATTATTAAACTAAAAAAAGCAAGACACGAATGACTACAGAGACCAGCATTTGACTTAAAAAGACTTGAGAGAATGCAAGGATGTTTCCCCTTCTTTTAGCCCTTTATGCTTTGTTAATGTTTCCTTTATTATAATTGCTTGAAACAAATTATGTAAGTGTCTATGCAGCTAGCCATTCCCAATGCCCACTAATTCATAGCCCCGGGGATATATATAATATAATAGATAATATAAAAATCCATATATTCTTGTAAAAACTAATACTATTTAATTAAATTTCATGATGGTGGATTGTAAGCAGGGCGGAGAGGACAGGGTACAGACTGTTTCTTAATGGGTATACCAGTTACAGGGGCAATGGCTTCTAAATACTTGCTCATTTCTTCTATGCTTCGGTTGCTTTCTGAATGTATATATTAAGACACCCTTTAAAAAAAGATATGGAAAGGATAGGAGCTCTACAAGGACCAAACATATCTGGGCACAGGGTCTTTTCTGAGACTGACACTCAACCAAGGACCATCTATGGATATAACCTAGAACTTCTGCTCGGATGTGGCCCGTGGTAGCTCAGTAACCAAGTAGTTTTTCAAAGTAAGGGGAACACGGACTATTTCTAACAGGATCTCAAGGGCAGGCTGTTTGACCCCCCCCCCCCGCCCCGGGGAGGAGCAGTCTGTTAGGCCACAAAGGAGGACTTTGCAGCCAGCCCTGAAGATACCTGATAAAACAGGGTCAGATGAAAGGGGAGGAGGTCCTCCCCTATCAGTGGACTTGGAAAGGGGCAGGGAGGAGACCAGGGAGGGAGTGTGGGGTTGGGGAGGGAATGAGGGAGCGGGATACAGCTGGGACACAGAGTTAACAAAATGTAACTAAAAAGAAAAAAAAAATAATAATAAAAAGAAAGGTTTCCACACAAAAGACCCCCTGTGTATCGGGGGTGGGAGGAAACAGTGCCTTTCCAGTTCTGTTTGGCTGTCTAGCCTCTCCCCCGCCTCTTTGAGAGCTTACAGTGTTAAAGCACTTTTGTATGTGGCTGAGGCTGTTGGTCGTAAACTTCTAGCACAATCCCTCAGGGCTTAGCACACCATGAATGTTTAGTGACGGGCCGCGTATACAGGCATCTTTATGTTTGAAGATGGAGCAAATAGGAGATGAAAAGATAGGTAGCCATTCACACTGGAAACTATCAAAAGAAAATAAAAATAGTCACGTCTCCTCCAAGGATGTGACGTGATGGAGTGCACTCCTTTTACAGCGACATGCTCACGTTGTTTGGCGTGTTCCTAACACCAGTGTCTCTGCCATGCCTACAGACTGCCTGGACGTCCTCTAAGCGCAACCTGTCACCTTACACATGACTTGTGGAATGGTACTGAAAAGGGAACACAGAAATACAACCCATTCCACCTGGGAGTGGGGCCATCGTGGGGTCAGGGCCATTATCTCCCTGGCTGTCCTGGGTCTTGGGACTTGAAGAAAGTCCCACAGTGGAGAAAGGACACAGTGGAGCGTGAAACATGAACTTACCAGGGCATGAGACCCGCTTAGATCTCCCGCACGAAGCTCTTAGAGTCGGCCCTGAGTGCCAGGCTGTGGATGCTCTACCTCGTGATGAAAAGCTAGAGTTCAAGTGCGCACGCAGGCAGGCTGGAGTAATCAGATGCCATGTCCTCAAGACCTCCTTTGCCCAGTGACAGTACCTTACTACAGGAGGCCTGGCGTCCTCTCTGTGTACATTTGATCTAGGCAAATTCTTCTACTGCTATGAACATTCTCTTCTGATTTTTTTTCTTTAATGCTTTGCAAATACCAGGTACTATATTGGCATTTGGATGTGTATTAGTCCATTTAATGTCTGAACTGATAAAGGGTTCTTTTTAGCTGTGCTGACTGAGTCACTCATGGGTACAGTAGGGGTAGAGGCAGCATTTGAACCCAGCACAGCTGCAGAGACATCGACCCCAAGTCTGGCTTCAGTGTCCATTGATCTGTGTGATAAATTTCTACGTATGGACTCTGAGTGTCAGGCTCTGTACTAGACACTGGGTGTGCCCCAGTGAACCTCAACATCTATACTTGCTCTGTCCTTCATTTCCCATGTTCTAACCTTCAGGACTCAGGTATATTCTTAGAAAGGTATGGCAAAGCACTTAAAGAGGGCCAGAGGGGTCATTTCTGAAGGTTCAATTGATGGCGACTCTGCTTTCCAGTAGAGTCAATTCAGGGAACTAGAATTACTAAGTATAATGGCTATTGCAAAGCACTGTGCTTCCTGGATTGCCCTCCCTCCTTTGCCCCCTGCCCTCACACAAGACAGGAAGCTGCATTTGCCTCGCTCAATGCTCCCAAGACAGAGAGCTGAGCCAGTGTGTGTCTTGTACACTTCTGAGCACCGTTTGATGTTGTTCTACACATTCGGCTCCCTTAGTGTAGACTTCCCAGATCAAGTCAGCGCGCCCGCCCCTCAGCTTTCTTTGTCTCAGAGTCAGTGGCTCATTTGAGGACCAATAGGACCTACATTGTAATAGGTTCATGATTTAAATAAGAGATGAATCTGTCCATTAAGGTTTGTGTGTGTCTGTTTGTGTTAGCCGATGAACGGGACTGCTGAGACAGCTAGACATCAGAAAAGGTCGCCTGCTGCGAGCAGTCCACTGGATGGATAATGAACACCCGTGAGCGTGTTTGCACCTTTCAGCTCTTAATTTTTCTTTGGAGGAATGTGTTGGGAAAACAGATTGATTGGAGTCTCGGGGAGGGCAGCTGACCTCTTGTGTGTCTTGCAGCTCCGGAGATGTTCAGCTCTAGGAAGGAAACAGGCTACTCCTTTGCTGTCGACTGGTGGTCCCTGGGCGTGACGGCGTACGAGCTGCTGAGAGGCCGGGTACAGTAGAACCACAGGTTCTCGTTTCTTAGCATTCTAGGAAAAATATGTTTTACAGATTTGCTCGTGTGTGTGTGTGTGTGTGAGAGAGAGAGAGAGAGAGAGAGAGAGAGAGAGAGAGAGTGTGTGTGTATGTGTGTGTGTATGAACTGGACCATATATAATACCCACAGAGGCCAGGAGAGGGCATTGGATCCCCTGAAACTGGAGTCACCTGCGAGCCATCTCACACTGGTGCTGGAAGGCAAACACAGGCTGAATGCAAGCTTGTGCAGCCCAGATGTTTGTAAGGGCTCGGCCATCTCTGCAGCCCCTTTTGGGTTCTCTGTCAGAATGGAAGAATGCATTGTTTGCTAAGAACCAAGCAGTTTACTTGAAATCAGAAGACACCTACATTCCCTGGTGTTAATAATACTCCTTAAGACTTTTGCACAGATTAATTCAGTGTCCTATATGTGTCACCGAGTCTGTCAGTTAATATTAATTACACAGATAAGCTAATAACATGGATATCAAAAACTCCTGGTGAAGGGAAATCAATATGCCTCACTCTCTTGGGTAAATAAAGCTGTTTGCTTAAAGAAAATTGTTTTTCCTCCCGTCACTGGGCAGAGCTCCCTCAGACACATGTCTACAAATAAGTGTGAATTATCAGCACCAGACAACCTGTGCTCCATCTTGCTGCTGTCTTGTCTGATGTGGCTATGTAGGACTTCCCTGGCAAACTGGAGTAGTATCCTTGTCAATGGGAACATTTCTCAAATAAAAAACTCTTCTCTAGATAAAAGATCAAAGAAATATAATAAAAATGATATTTTGTACAGTTTTACAAATACAGAGTTCAGATACCCCTCAAAGGTTTTTATCTTAGTTAGCCCAGCCTACCAAAATAGCACACTATGAACTGGGTAACTTAAAATGTTTATTTTCTCACAGCTGTAGAAGCTGGAAGTCCAAGTCAGGGAGTTAGAAATGCTGGTTCCAGTGTCTCACAAGACAGAGAAAGTAAGGGAGACAGGGGAGGGAAGAGGAGGAAGAAGGTAAGAATGGAAAGGAGACATAAAGGCAAAAGGGGAAAGAGAGCTCTTTTAATCTTTTTAAACAGACAGGCTCTACCCTTAGGACATAATCTGTCTCAAGACATCTGCCATAGTTCCTGTCTTCAAAAACATCTCACTGAGTGTTAGAGCTCTGATGTAGGACTGTGTGAGGGACACATCAGACCATGGCATTTCTCTCTTGGCCCCCCAAAACTCAAAACCAATGTTAAATGCTCAATAGCAATGACATTTTCTCTTTCCAACATCTAGTGTCCCAAAAGTCATCTGAATATCATCCAAGTCCAGTATGGATGGGACTAACAGCATGATTCATCTTGAGGCAGAAGTCCCATCCATCTGGGAACCTGTAAAGCCAGACAAATCATGTGTTTCTAAAATACAATGATGGGCACAGACATGGGTTAGACAGTCCCACCCAAGAGGAGACAAGAAAGCAGGAAGGGCCGCGAGTTCCAGTTGGTTCTCTTTGTCCATGAAGATGGAACAGAAGATGTTGAGCTGTGTGAATCATTTTCTGCATTCCAGCTCACTGTCTGTGCCCTTTAACTGAAACAGCTTCTCTGGTGGTGTAACCCACCTTCATCCCTGACTTTTCTTATACACCCAGGCACACAAGCAGCATTTCCTAATCAATTAATTGTTCAGCCTCTTCCTTCCTGTTCTCTTCAAAATAAGACACTCCAGTGAGTTTGTGTTTTGTCCTTTAAATTTTTTTTTATTCTCTTAGGATTTTTGTTGTTGTTTGTTTTGTTTTGTCTTATTGCATTGTTTTATACTATGAATGAATTTAGAATCTAAATTTGCAAGTTTAAGTCATTTATTTATTTTTTATTTATTTATTTATTTTATTTTTTGCATTTTACTATAAGTGGCCAGGAGGAGCCATGCTTCTTGTATAATGATCCCTGGCCCTTAGGTCCAGGAGTTGTGTTGCAGATATATCAATTGGGACCATGCTCCATAATTCTACATTTTGACTGGTTGTAGTTTTCTAAAATGATTTCCATCTATTGCAAAGAAAAAGTTCCTTGATGAGAGGCAAGAGTACTATACTTAGCTGTAAGTATGAGGATAAATATTTAGGAATTATGCTATTAGTGGGGAGTATATTGGGAAAGCTTATAGGGAGGACCAAAAAGGAGGAAATTATGTAACTCAAAAAAAATTTAAAAATAGAACATTAAAACCAACAAGACAAAATCCACACCAGCAAACAAACAGAACAAAACCAAACAAAAAACACTAGGAATTTGTTGTAGTCACCCCCAAATCTTTCTATTTTCATGTGGACAAGCCATCTTCAGATAATTATATGCAGATACATTTAGCAGTTTCAAAATATAAATAATGCTTTAACTTCATGTTGAGACAATTATATATACGAATGTATAACTTCTATATGACAATACCTCAGTGTGTTTTACTTTCAAAGTTAAATATATTTTGTAAATATATTACCTTACAAATATTTTCAGGCATATCAATTTTTTTGTCTTCTGTTCTACATGATCAGATTGACGATTCACTAAAAACGGGATATATGTCTTACATAGTTTAACATCCGCTTTGTGCAAGTGTTCATCAATATGTATTAAATTGAATGAGGGGAGGAACAAAGCACTACACATCACCTTTGACAGATTTTAGGGAGTATTCACTAAAAGAGGGTACATGATTACGCTGCAAATACAGTTAATCAGAAGAAAATAGCAACATTTAGTTACAAGTCTCACCATAACTAAACCACAGAGGAGGTGTGGGGAACAGTAACGTCCTGCTAATTTGCAAACTCTTATCTACAGAAAAAGCAAATGATGTGCTGGTGAAATGTGCATGGAAACCCCTGCGAGCTGAGCTGCACTTTGGGTGGCCTAATCTTAAACACTAACTTGTGTGTCATCTCTGCGTCTCAGCCATGGAAAAACAGAAGCGCCACCTGCCTTAGAGTTCTGATTTGACCTTAAGTGTACTCCAAAGTCTGTGGTACTGGTTGCAGCAAAGCTGAACCCTTTGTGCTTCGTTTGGAAGACAGAGCCACTGTGTAGCCCAGGCTGAACCCAAGATCCCCATTCTCCTGCCTCTGGTTTCTGAGTTCTGGGATGGGATGGCAGACTTGCGCCATCTACCCACTGACCCTTTTTTGTTCTGGGCTCTTGAAACCCAATCACAAGACACCATTTACTCCGATCTAACACTTTATCTTTTCTGCACTCTCATTGTTTGTATATTCTCCCTCTTAACTGGCCACATGTTTTAAGGCTCTCTGTTATTTCCCATCGTGTAGTCAGCTAGTCATGAGTCACTCCAAACAGAACCTGTGTTATCACCACTTGTTTCACCAGCAACCTTTTGCAGGGGTTCATTTTGCCAATGAAATAGCCTCATCTTGTACGTGAAAGAACTGAGAGTCAGAAAATGAATGACCAGGCTTAGCATCCAAAGCCTTCTGACCTCAGAACTCTAACACATGATTACATTATAAAACCTTTTAATTGACTCCTGGGAAAAACAAACACTTCCTCCTCCTCCAATTTAGTTCATCCATCAGCGATTACTTAAAGATCTGGAGAAGGTCAGTCAGGTGATAAATGTGTGCACACAGGTTAACTGTCTCGGGATTAATCTAATGTGGAAATTCTGTCTCTGTGCATATTATATACAGTACCCACTCCGGGTTTAAGTTGCTTAGTTTCCCTACAAGACAGGGAGACCTAGGGGAGAAATTAGTATTTGTAATGGTTGCCCTCTAGTGGGCAGAAGTAAAATCATCACTAGCTTGTTCTTTATTTTTTAAAAAACAACATTTTACCTTACTAATTTTGGGAGTATGATAGAATGCAACCAGCTTCCAATTGGGATTTTCATATGTATTCTATTTGGGTTTTTAGTTTCTTTTATTCAGTCTAAATCCATAGATGGCCCTGATTGTTCTAGAAACGTTTTTGTTTGTTTAGGTTTTTATCTCAGCATAAAATCCTCTACCACATATTTCATGGGAGCAGAGACACTGGATTCGATATTTTCTGATCAGTTCTCTATCCTAAACTTTCTCATCATGTTTATTTTTATGTGTTTTTGTTTGTTTGTTTGTTTAAAAATGTTCTTCTTGGGTAGCCCAGGGCGGCTTTGAACTTGTTATGCAGCTGAGGCCAGTCTTAAAGGACTGATCTTTCTGCCTTCACCACCACCCCCAACTGCTGGGATTACAAGCACATGGCACAACACCGAGCTTTCATTGTATTTCGGATCAGTTAAAAAGAGAGACTATGGGAAAATTATGGATCTGTAATTTTTTTTTAATTTGTAAAATTTACAAATATGTAATATGTAATCAACCTTATATAGTAATTTAAGTTTTTTTTTTCTATTCATTACTGACCTTTTGTATGAATACACCTAAAAGCTATATACAAAATAGTTTGGAATCAGTGTGTCAAAAACCGGCTCAGTCCACTGAAATATTATTTGGATCTATGAAATAACAAGTGTTTAAAAACTTAGGATATTTTGATGAAAAACTATAGGTTCGTGACATTTCTTTCAAAATCTGTAGTAACCTATATGGCTACCCGTCAGTCAGCTTGAAGGGGTTCTTGTTGAGGTTTTATTGTTTCAAAGTTCACCTTGTACATACTTGCATATTTCCCCCCTTTGACCTGTAAAAATGAAGGCCCGCTCTCTTTTTCTCCCCTAAGAGACCATATCACATCCGCTCCAGTACTTCCAGCAAGGAAATTGTGAACATGTTTGAGACTGCAATTGTAACTTACCCTTCTGCCTGGTCTCCAGAGATGGTATCTCTCCTGAAAAAGGTGAGGCAGGAGAAAACATGTTGGGAGGGAGTCAAAAAAGGAAGTGTACATTTACTGTTGGAAGTGAAGGTGCAGGCAGGATAATGCACATTTGCAGAGCGGTTGTTGCCACTAAATGTTTCCAAATACATGGCTTTCTTAATTCAACCCACAAATGCCTTTGGATGTTTCAAGGCCTTCTCAAGTTCATTGTGCCCAAATGTCATTCTTTGTCTCTCTATATTTCTTGGCCTTCTCTCAGCATTCTCTTTCCCAATGACTGGTCCCTTCACCTATCTATGCAAGGCAGAGACCAGGGCTCACTCATCATTTCCATATCTAGACCATAACCAGATCCTGAATTTACACTATCAATAGTCATTGTTGATTTCACTGTTCTTCATCTCCGTGGCTCTTTCCCTAATCCAGCTGCCATCAAGTTTTGTTTTGTTTTCTGATATGTTGCTTGCTTTTGCCACTCTGCTCTCTTTATTTCTCTCCATATTTCAGTCTCTTCTCATTGGTCTTCGAGTAAAGATAAACTAATGGTTTATCTTTAATGGTTATACTATAGTGGTTATAAACAGCCCCTCAATCCTTGAGAATTTTGGTCACCCTCTCCTCCCACTCCTCACCAGCACAGCACCATTAGGCTTCTCACACACCTGGATCAGGGCTTCTTGCCTTAGTTCCTCTAACACCTTCCCCGAGATCAGTAAAACTTGGTGTGATTGGCTCCCTGACTGTGGTCCATACGTTGGTTTCTATACCTGGAGAGAAGCATTTTGAAACACGTGGCATTTGATACTGCTCTGCCAGTACGACGTTGTCACAGGTGTGACAATGGATGTGTCTCCTTGGGTAGGGAAGCAGCTCGTTTGGCTGCGGTGGAACGGAAGTCATATGCTGTACGTCATCTGGGGCTGCATGTGAGCCAGGAACAGTGAGACCACGTATTGGCTTTAATGGGTCATAAATTGAAGAAAAATACAAAGTAAAAAAAAAAAAAAAGGACTGCTGGCCATTTTATGTCATTTGGAAAACACAGCTTCAGGTTTTAGCTCTGTAAAGCAATGTTCACTTCATGCTGGCTTTTCATGATCTGAGGTTGGTAAACTGAGGGTTAGAAAACAAACTTGCCCAGGAGGAGAGTCAGAGAGGGACGATCTGTTTAACTCCTGGAACGGGCCATTTGTCCCATCATATTGCAAACACTACTTCGCGTGTTATTCCAAACCTACATTGTCTGCTTGCTTTGCGTGGGAGCAGGGATCACCGTCCTACAAACCGCTTGCTTGATTTCTCCTCCAAGGGATGGGGCACTCCCTTTGGATCCTCGGTTTCCAACACTCGCTGGGGATTTTTTTTCCTGGGTCTGTCTGGCCTTTTTTTCCTGTCCCCTCTGTCTGGCCTTCCTTGTAATAACAATGCGTGTATTTCCTTGGCAGCTCCTTGAACCTAATCCAGACCAACGGTTTTCTCACTTGACTGACATTCAGAATTTCCCTTACATGAGCGACATGAACTGGGATGCAGTGTTGCAGAAGAGGCTCGTTCCGGGCTTCATTCCCACTGTGAGTCAAGCTCAGCAAGCCCTAACAGTCCCCACACTCTGTGCACAATCCCCTGTGCATGAGGCCACCCAGGATCGCATTTGATGATCACCCCGGGAATGTAAAAACGCCCTGATGCTAGCTTCCCACAGGGCGGAGTGGAGGCTTACACGGGGTATGCTGACTGCTGGAAGTCACACAGCTCTCAAGGAGCTAAGCTGGGAAGTCGACATCTGGGCTTTCTAGGCTTTAACCATGTTCTGTTCAGTAAGAGGTTCTAAACTCTCGAACAGTCATTTCATGGAATATGCTGTGGAAGGGAACATTTCTTTTTCCTTTCTCGCAAAGAGGTAATCTTTATATCCATTGAGATCTGTGAGTTGGTTAGTGGGAAACTTCACCTCCAGGAGCATTCCTTTTCTTTTGCAATTTTATTGCACAGATCTATAGTTTTAAGAGCCAATAATCATTGAGATATCATTTCCCTTGTCTGAGTACCCACAAGGGATATGGTATCCCAGGGCATGCTCCTGGATAAAGCTTAAGGTTGTGCCTTACTGAGGCTCTTCTCTCCTCTCTGCCTGGGATTTAAATTCTAACACTGGATATAGGAACACAGGCAGGAGCGATGTGCTCCTGCCAAGGCTTGTATAAGGAACTCTGAGTTTCCTCTTCAAGCCCAAGCGAGGCACTTGTCCTGGGGACACAGGCACACAGGTGTTTAACTAAACTGCTGGATGAGGTGCCCAGTTAGTATGTCAGGTGAAAGCTTGATGGAAGCAAGGAGGGAGCAGCGCGGTGGCATTCAAGGATGCAAGTGTCTACCTTAGTGAGCAACCGAAAGTGAACCGAGGGTTGTAATTGGGTGCATGGCTGATGCATGACTATGGAGGATCCTGGGTACCCCCTTCTTTCTGTTAGTCACGCCTGACTTTCTTGTGAGAAGCTCCACCTGTAGACCTTGGGCCTTTCTGTGAATCTGACTCATGTGGAGAATGTATCAAGTGGCAAGTTCTTGGCCTCATGTTCAGAAATCCTGATTCTGAAATCTGGTTGGTGACCTTGGAATCTAAATGAGCCATGGCCACGATTCTGATCTATGTGGTCTTTGGAACGAACTGAAAAACCCAGAAGTTCAAACCTTCGAAATATAATTTTAATGTGGTCTCCTTCATTACTCACTAAGGGATAGTGAGAAGTTTGTAAAAATAAATAAACTATACAATCAAAGAATGTGAAAGATAATACTGGCAGTAAGTGCTATAAAACCTCAGTGGGAACCCAAGTTGTTATTCTTGGGTTGCCTCATCAGGACTAGGCATTACTCTCTGTCTTAGGCTGGTATGCCTTAGGAAAGATGCAGGGATCTGAGAACTAAATCATGCCTTCCTCTTTACAGAAAGACAGGCTTAATTGTGACCCCACTTTTGAGCTTGAAGAAATGATTTTGGAGTCCAAACCTCTTCACAAGAAAAAGAAGCGCCTGGCAAAAAGGGAGAAGATGAGAAAATGTGACCCCTCTCAGGTAGGTGGGCTGCCCACCAAGCTCAGGAAAGTGCAGTTCCCTCCAGAGCTGCTGGGGGAGGTCATCTCAGAAACCTGGCCCTGCCTGATGCAGGAGAGGCACAGCTACTGTGGCCACTGGGCCCTCTGTGTGCCCCTGTGTGATGACACAAGCAGCAAGCCACAGCCAGAGCTCAGGTCCCCAGAGTTTGAAGGACATCATCTCAACTTTCGATCGTGTCTTCTCTAAGGTGTTCTACAGGTTCCTGAAGGTGCATGTCAGGGGAGCAGAGGGTGGGCTAACCACCCCTGCATTAATGGTGAAAGTAACTAACTTGTGCTTTCAGATGGAAGCTGACCGTGACGTGTGTGTGTTTGTGTGTGTGTGTGTGTGTGTGTACATACAGACACACATATACACACATTATATACAGAGTTCCATTGTACGTGATTCTGATAGAGCAATGGCCCAGGTTGGGGGGGAGGGCATGGCAGGGGCAGGAATTTCTCTCCTGTGACCCTTCCAGAATCTGCTTCCATCTGGAAACAGGATTTCTTTGATCTAGGCTGCTCAGTGACTGCTCTATATATTGGCTATTTGTGGTTCTGATGTTATATATGGGCTATTTGTGGTCCTGATGTTATGTATTGCGCTATTTGTGGACCTGATGGGTCAGCTAAGTATGCTTCTGTCTCGTTTTTATGTTCACCTTGTAGACATGTCTTCTTCAAGAGCATCTTGATGCTGTTCAGAAGGAGTTTATAATTTTCAACAGAGAAAAGTAAGTATCTCTGGGGCGGAGACCAGCAGCTTAAAATGATGTCATTTAGGCAGATTTTGTTTTCAGAAATTTCATATATTTTAAAGATTTTTTTTTTTGCTATAAAAATGATTTAAATTTAGGATAAAAAATTTTAAATATTAGGAGCCTTTTTTTGGTCAGTGTTTTTTTGTTTTTTTTAGTTGATAAATTACCCCAGTGTCATATTTTTGTTTATGGTAACTGGAATGTAAATGCAATGACTGTTTAAAAAGTTTTGTTTTAACATTTTGGGAGAAAAGGGTTGCCAATGGATAAGATTCAGGGGTTAGTTCTCTTCTTCCACCTGTGGGTCTTAGAGATTAAACTCAGAATGTACGCTTGCTGCTAAATGCCTCTACCCACTGAGCTATCTTGCCAGCTCAACACAATGCCTTTTAAAAGTTTCTTTAGCTCAGACTTCTTTATAATTAGAGGCCACACTGAATGGACTCAATGGGTTGTATTTATTTTTTTATTCATTCGTATTTGTAACAACAATGTACTTAAAGCAAAGGAGGCAGTGAATTGGGGGAGGGGCTGGGTCAGACATGAGAAGCATAGGAGGGAGGAAAGGGAGGGAGAGATGATACAATTACATTTTAAGTTTTAGAAGGATAAAAAATATATTGGATTATATGCTATCCTTTCAAAAGTTTAAGTTCATTTTTTTTCTTTGAATAAACAACTTTCTCCCTTCCCCCTCCTTTCATTCCTTCCTCCCTTCTTCCCTCTTTCTTTAAGAGTAAAAAGAGACTTTAATCAAAGACAAGCAAATCTAGCCTTGGAACAAACCAAAAACAACGAAGAAGAGGAAGATGGCCAGAATAACAACCTGTAAGATGCTTTAGCGTCTTCAGGACAGATCTTGGCTCCTGGCCGGAAACTTCTGATTATCACTCCCAGAAGAGCTGACAGCCGTCCTTGCCACTCCACACCTCATGGCTTAGGGAATGTGAATGAAAATCCTTCGAAGGTGGCAGCACTCCACAGCGAAGAGAGCCGGGGTTCTGAGCTCCTCAGATCTGACATCAGCACTAATTGACTCTGTCACCCTAAGCAACTATGTAACTACTTTCTCTGTTTTCCGTTCTCTGCTGGAGAGGTAGAGGGTTATTTCAGAAGAGCTAGCCTTTGCTCTGTTAAAAAAAAATGCTACAATTACTGTTCTAAACAGCCTTTATTTTTATTTTTAAATGAATATTTGAATGTAGGTTTTTTTTTTTCATTCCTTTTGATGACACTGAGAAAAATGAACACTGTATACAGTGAGCCTCTTCAAGGCTGGAGAGTATCATAGCGCGGCCAGAATTTCAAAGCTCGATTGGCTAGGAATAAACATATTCCATCAGGAATAAATACATAGGTCAGATTAGAAATAGCAAAGACTCCTAGGGCCTTGGAATGGAGAACTGCGTCGGCTGGGAATCTGTTAGCAAGAGCCTAACGGCCGGCGTGGCCTCTCCACTTCTTTTCAGTGATAGGGCCTCTGTCAGGTGAACTTGGTTCTGAAGAAGGGAGTCACGTGCAGAAGTTTAGCAAATGCAGAAGTTGGGACGTTTTTTTCCCCCCCAGCATGGCAGTTGTGAAACATGGGACTCCAGTTGCCATTCTGTGGCATGTCTGCCCCTCAAGGGCTAATTTTTCTCAAGATTAGCAGAGGCCTGCTTCTGGAGAGGATCTGAGCTTGCTGCCACACCGACCGGCAGGGCTTCGTTGAACCACTCAGCGAAGTTGCACCTTACAGGATAGTTATCTTGCACGTTAAATTTGGAAGCTGGTAAACTTTCCCTTGAGAGACTCTGAACTCCACCTATCATAAGGAGGAAAAACCCTAGTCAGTGGCTTTTCTATCATGAAACATGTCACTTTTGTTGTTATTGTTTGCTCCTTTGTTTTTTGTATTGGTCAAAGTTACATTTGATATTTAAGAAGTTACAAGTTACATTCAGAGCACCAGGGTGCTCACAGATCCCTGACACGGAAGCCCCCACATCCCACTGGCTGGGAGATGCTGGCAGAATTTCCTAGCTTCTTACAATGTTACTGATGCCCCACTCTTTCCTGTCTTTCTATTTCACTCATGTGCAAGGTGTAATTCGCCTATATGTGCATGTCACCTAACTCCACTGTGCTGATGCCTGTGAGAGCTTTGAGAAACTTTTTTGAGTTTCTACCCGCTGGTGACACTGGGTAGAATCGAGAAGTGAGTGGGCTTTACAAAGCACAGTTTTCAGCTTCTGGAAACTGAGGTCATCTAACGGTATTCCTTAGGGAGAGTACAGGCGTAACCCTGATCCCGGCAAGCTGGTCTAAAGGACCTGATTGATGTCATATGGGGAAGGCAGATGGGTAGAAATAGATGGTAGACACTTTAGCAAGTGAGTTTGTGCAGAAAAAGGAGAGCTGAACTGAAGACAAGCCTTTGTGGTTCTCTGGAATGTCTACCCTGGCTGCGACATAGCACCTCTCTTCTAAGAGCAACGATATTTTTTTAAAGAATGAAAAATCACCTCTTTTTATTCAACTCCTGTCTCCTGAAGTTCTCACGTGTTGTTTGTGATATTTTGGTTATGTTCAGTCACTGTGTAACTCAATGCACTTGCCCTTGACTTGCAGAGGGGTGAACAGGTCACACATAGCAACACAGAGGTGACTGGATTCTGCTCCAGGCTGGTACTCCCACAAATGTCACAACCACACGCATGCCCCAGCTTCCACCTTTTGTCATACAGCAGCTTTTAGAAATGCTTTCCAAAGGACAGCAGGGCCAGCGGGGCTCCATGGGGGTGGGGGGTGGACTGTTTTGTGTGTCTTTAAACATTAAGGTGTGAGTAGGAACCCATGTGATCTCGGAAGATTGAATCCCTAGCTTTTTATTCCCATTGGGCATCTTTCAAGTACTGCTAGTTTTCAGAATGGGGGAATTGCTGGTTTGAGTGCAGTGTGGGAGCTGGGTACATTTCTAGTGCCAGCCAGATGAGTGGCACACAATGTGTTTCAAGTTAAAAAGACAAACATTCCCTGGGCTGGGTCTGTGGCCCAGCAGTAGAATGTGTACTTAGCATGCACAAGGGCCTGAGTTAGGACCCCAGCACCCCAAGAAATGAAAGCACTGCATCTGGCTGCGCAAGATAACTGCTGCCGAGCACTGCTGGGCATTCCCAAGGGCTCTTGGCAATTGCTTCTTGGTTTTATTCCTAAGTTTCAGCTAAAACTTAGCACTCACCAGACAAAACATCCCTTGATTATTTCTGGGAAGGATTAGGGCTGAGAACTTTAGAAAACAGTGTGGCTATCCTTTCTTCTGCTGCTGGCCAATCTCTCCTAGCAGCTTCCATCCTCCTGTACCACACAGAGCCTCTGAAGGGCCTGATGGGGGTCGGAAAACCAGAGTGTCCCAGCTGTGACACCCACTGCTCCCTGCACCGCAGCTGCTATCACAAGGGCATTCCCGGAGGGTGGGGCAGCCTACTTATGGGGTTAACTGTGATCCTCACTCCCTGGAAGGAAGTGTCCCACTATCCAAGGCCCAGTGACCCTGCAGCAGCCCTGGCTTGGCTGAGGTCTTTTTTAGGACAGGAATGAACCCAAAGCAGTACAGAGCATTGCTAAGTTAATCACTGTCATCTAATTAATTAGTGGAAATACAAAGATGACTGGCTTTCCTATTGTTACGGCTTTCCCAGTGAATGGCCAAATAAGTAACTAGGAAAAGAGTGTTGCTGCACCTGTTGAGACTCTTGTCTCTGTTCCAAGTTGTCAGGGATGCTGAGCTCTGTCTGGCACTTGGGGCGCTACTGAATAGGCAAGACAGGGCAAGCACTTTGCTCAGCTCCTCCGTGTTCTCTTGTTCTGTCTACACAAAATCCATCTCCTACTTCTGTCCACCTGTGATTGCTATTCAGTGTGGGTTCAGTGTGTCAGCCCAATGTTAAACACGGAGACTCCCCGTTTCACTTTTCTGTGCTGTTCTGAACTGGTGGCTGATTTAGAAGCCCCAAATTAAAAAAGACAAAATGTGCTTCTGTGGAGCCATGGTGTATGTGTTGTCAATGTGCTGCATGGATTAAAAGTCTTCTGTAACAATATGCCCCTGGTCTTCCTTTGTCAACTGTGTGTGTGTGTGTGTTTGTGTTTGTGTCTCGCTGCCCCAGGTCATCTGTTCATTGAGAAGAACTTCCCTTTGTTGGGGATGATGTGTAATCTGTGTTTACACACTGTAGAGGGCTCACTGGAGGACTGCAGCCACCATCCTGGCTTCCGCTTTTCACCATGTCGTTAAGTTTACAGACAACTCATACAGGACCCTTTTGCGCTGTTCTCCTCCTCTCAGGATCCTGTTCCTTTTCTTATGCCAGCGACACAGTGGATAGAGGGCCCATAGTCTGACAGAAGGACAACAGAGGCCTGAGGGGAACTTTCAACTAACTCACAGGCCCACAACAGCCCCACACTCAGCAAACGTCAAGCTCTTAGGCTTGTCTTATAGTGGGCTCTGAAGTCCTGCACACCAACTGTCCTGTTGCCCAGGGCATGCTAAGCGTCCTGTATGCTTTTCCCAATAGACCGCCACGCAGAGGGCAGGACCCAGCACTCTAGACTCTGAAGAGTGCCAGCAGTAGGCCTGTGATCTGCTTTTGCAGGTTGCTCTTGTCCCTTTATCCTCCATCTCCTTCTCAGATGTTTGTTCCCTCTGTGATGGGTTGGTGTGAGAAGAGATGATTCTCAGAAGTTGTTGGAACCAGAAGGCCTTTGTTATTCTTATCCCTGTTCAGTGTTCTCATTCCTGACCTGGTCAAGTGTGACTCAGCTGCCAAATACTTGTAGTTTCATCCTTTCCAGATTACTTCATTCTAACAAAGACCATTGTAAATGCCAATGGCCCCTTTTTAAGCCACTCAAATCTGTAACGGGATTAGCTGTTCCTTGTTATAAGAAAAGGGATCTATTTCACCAGTCTCAAGGGTGACCAGACCTACGCTCTTTGGCTGGCTATATTGAGTGGATATCTCTTCTGGGTTCCCTAGGCAGGTAAAATGACAACCTGCCGATGCCAATGACTGGTTTTGCCTCCACAGGAATGAGCTTTGCTGAGGCAGCAGCATCATCTCAGGCAGGTTAGACTGAGATGGGAACTGCCTGGGTTTGTCACTTCTAGTTAGCAAGGCCAAGTATGCCCTATTCTGAGCTCTTCAGACACCCTAAAACCCTACTTCCAGCCCCACCCACATATCAGTCACCACTGAATGCCCCACACAAATTAGAACTGGATCCAGAAATGCTTCCCAGCAAAGGGATGTGATGGGGGATTCAGGAGCCAAAATAACCTGAAAGCCCTAAATTGGACTTTCATTTTCTGGTTGTTTCTGTGGATATATTTGTTTTGTTCATTTTTTATTTGTTTTCAGTGCTGGAGATCTAAGCCAGAGCCTTCTGCCTGCTAGGTAAATAAATACTTTAGCTCTGAGCTACATCCCTATAGCCTGGACAACATATAAAGACCCATGATACAAATCAGAACCCCCAACTTTGCAGTATGCACAATGAAGCGCCCAGAAGAATAGGCATAGCAGACTGTTTGTTTTTGTTTTTTCACTCACTGAACTCTTGGAGATCACCAAGAGAACAGCATAGTAACAAGGCTGGCTGAAGACAGAAACACACAAAAGCAGAACAAAACAAAGCCTTTTAAAGTTGTCTCAGAGTCTGAGAGACTTAGCTCAATAAATTCTTGTTTTTTTACACTATTAATGAATGTGATGATTGTTTATAAGAAAACTCCAAGGTTTCAACTGCCATTGCCAGAGCAGTAGCCCAAAGTTCAATCTCAATGAAAGCAAGCTGTCTGCAGTTAGGGCTGTTGCTATCAGATCTGCTGTTAATTTACCTATTTTGTCTAATGATGGAAGTTCCTTGTCTTATATGTTTTTATGTGGCGTGTGTTAAACATGTGCATTTCTGTGTGGCTGTGTATCCATGCGTATGATCCTGGAGGCCAGGGAAGGACATCAGATATTCTGACACAAGGTCTCTCACTAAATGAAGGCAGTGAACCCAGCTATCCTCCTGCCTCTACTCCCTCCCCAGCAGTGGGGCCATGAGGATACATGGTAGCCACACCTAGTTTTTTATGTTGGTGCTGGGATAGGGACTGGGGTCCTCATTCTTACACAACAAACACTTGTACCCACTGAACCATTTCCCAGTCTCCCAGAGTTTCAATACAGTAGGTGAAACGCTTTTCTGTGCACAAAAGACAGGACAGCAACGATGGTAATTTTATAATTATTTTAATAACCAGGTTTACATTAACAGTCACTTGGTGAGCTTTTTTTTTTTTTTTCTTTAATCTCATCTAACTCAATACACAGTTTTCTTCACGGTTCAAACCAAACAGCTCGTCCATTTCCGAGCTGCCTCACAGCTAGCACAGGTCACAGGGAGACTCACTGTCCGGCCACCAGACACAGAACTGAACACCCACACACCATGTCTCAAAGGGGAATTAGCAGGGGTGCTGGCTGCCTGGGCCAGCCCGAGACTGCATCGGGACTCAAGCTGGGGTTGTCTAGGGGGAAAAGACCTGGGAGGCTTGTGTCAAGAGTCAAAGTTGGGAAGCACTCACCTCTTGGGTGGGGCTTAGCAAGATGGACAGAATGGAGTCTAGAATTAGGATTCAGGCCTTGGGAGATGAGCTGAGATCTCTGAGTATCATCATGAAGAAAGGACTCAAAGACTGTGAAGTTGGGGAAAGGCCATTTTGGAGGATGACTATAATCCTTTTAGTTAAAAAAACAAACAAATAAACAAACAAACAAAAAACACTTAGAAGTAAAAGAAATATCTCTGCTAGGGAAGCCAATTTAATTGATTCAACTGCTGGAGCCTGTGGCCCTTTCAGAAAGAATGTCAATAGTTGCCATTAGGGCTCAGAAATAACTTGAGGTTTGGAGATTGCAGGGTTATTTTCAGAAGAGGCTGGATTGAAAGCCCAGAGGGCAAAACTTCTGGAGAGAAAACAGCACCCACCATGCCCTCCCATCCTTGAATGGAAGGCCTGTGAACTTGGAGGAAGGCCTCACCCATGGCCATTTTCCTTCCTGTGACCCAGTGACCAAGGCTGTCGCATCTATGGAGCAGAAACTATTCAAATATAAAATTTTAACTCAAGTAGCATGCTGCTTAGAAAATTTCTCATGTTAAGAAAATAGTGGGAGGGTTGAAGGAGTCCTCAGGATGTCCTACACTTGGGTGTTAATAACAGTGGATGAAGCAAGGGAGACGTGCTGAAGTCAGTGCCTGCCCACCATGCGGACGCTGTTCCTCGCACAGGGAATGCTTGAGTGGAATATAACAGTGGCACCTTTTGGAAGTCCCAATGCTGTGAGATGACACAGAGGAGGTGAGTTTTCACGACCAGAGAGTCCCTTGGAGGGACCAGTTGGTCTCAGACACGGGAAACCAGAGTTGTGCAAGCCCAGAATTAACAGTTCATTTACGTGTCTCTTCCTCCATCTGGTGGCCAAAGACGGTACTACAACCTATGCAGATGTCAAGCCTGGCTATTGAGGTATATAGAATACATGCGTCAGATCTGGCACACTCCCTTTTGCATATAGAAGTCATTCTGAGTTTCTGGATAAATCCCCAAATCTTTAAATTGTAATTCCAGACTACATTCTCCTCATTTTTTTTTCTGCTAAATTTTCCTTTGAAAATAAAAGCACCACGAGAGCTTTAAAATATCAAGATTCCCTACTATGAGCTGAAAGAGCCTTTTCCTTGATTGAACAACTAGCTTGCTCGCTCAGGGAAGTCCTAGTCCTCTGCTATTTCCAAATCCTTTTGTATCCAAACTGTTCACGTTTCTCTAGTTGTCTGTTTGATTACAACCTGCAGTCAGGGCTCGGGGCAGGGGTGAAGCATAGTGGCCGAGTAAATACTCGGCCTAGCACATGCGAGGCCCTGGACTCAATCGTCCAGCTCGTTGAACAAAATGAACAAAAATCCTCCACGAAAAAAGACAGACAGAAAGAAAGAAAAAGAACAAGAAAGACAAAAGAAAAGCACAAAGCAAAAGCAAAACAAAAACCACCTGCAGGCAGAGACGGACGCTTCTCTCAAATACTTGGAAGGTGTACAAGGCCTGCTCTGGTCTTCAGAGTACTTAGTTCGTATATACTCGATGAGCTACTCCTCATCAAGTGGGCCCCCAGAGCACAGGAATCTGAGCCCAGGCTGATACCATATTTCCTGAAGGAGACTTCCCTGCCTTCTCTAGACTCCTCGCTTGCTCATAGAATCGGGTTCACAGTTGGTTTTGGAAATGGCATGATAGGGACATAGAGTTCCGGCTCTGACAGCCTAAGGGGAAACAAATGTTGCTGCCCACTTTCCCCACCGAGAAGGCTGCATCGTGTCACTTCCTAATATTACCCTGGAGATTGTAGTACCAATTAAAGAGTGACATCCTTGCCCCCGGGACCTGCTAATAGAAGAGGAAACACTTGGCTTAGAATTGAAAATATGGTGAGATAACGTACACCTGCTAACGGCTGGCTTCCCTAAATCTCTGCTGTACTCCCATGGAAGCTGAGATTACTATTTGGAGGAAAGATTAGAGACAACTGAGAAAGTCAGTTCTCTAAAAGAAAAGAAAATCACGAGTGTGTTTGGATCTGAGAAGAGGAAGAGATTAGCCATTCATATGAACAAAGGAAGCCCTGGAGTCTATCTCTGCCAGGGTCCTAACTCAGCAGGCAAGAGCATGATCCGCTTCTCAGCTTGCCGGCAGGAGAGAGGTGTTTTTCCAGGGCTGAGAAGAAGGCTGTCTAAATTTCATGGCTGTCCCTAAATAGAGCCCATGCAGCACTCTGCATGAGTGCTGGGCCCCAAAGAAGCCACAGAGGAAGAGACCTGTCCATTTGTCCTGCCGGTGTGGCCTTCACAGCCTAGCATACAGGAGTAGCAAGCAAAATGAGAAAGAGGCCCAGGCAATTGCTGGCATCATTAAACAGGTGGAAAAAAAAATGGCTGGACTCTGACATTTAATAAACGACTAAAGAAACAAGACCTAATAGGAAAGGACAGATGTGACCAAGTCAGAACCCAAAGCCCTCCTGCCTTCTCTGCAGATCCCAGGGCACTGTGATGCGGCATGTAGGTGCCACATGGAAATTAACACACATCGTCAGCACAGCACGCAATGCCCTTCTGCTCACCAAGCCCGCCCACCTCCCTCCTGCTCCCACCCCAGCCCCTGTGTGCCCCCACCGGGCCCTGGGTTCCCCCCACCCAATGACCCTTCGTGCCTTTTGTTCATTTTCTTGACGTCCCAGTTTTGTCTGTCCCCTTGTCATAAGATGCACTGCTACACACGCTCTCAACTATAAGATGCAGACTCTACCTTAGTGGCCTGTCTGATCGCATGCATGTAAGGGGGAGGGGAGGTCAAAGAAGTCAAGGGTATGCATAAAGAGAAATCAAAGCAATTCATAAAGCTAGGCAAGCGAGCATAACATCGGGAAACATAAGGCTTGAGGCTTATTGATTCTTTAGATCTCAACTGTTTAGATTCACTTTCCTTCTTAAATATCGATGTACCATTTTGGCTTCAAAAAAAAATCTCTTCTTGCTTCTGCTTCCCTCTTTTGGGAGGGCTTGCTTAACTCAGGGATGTGATATTAGAACGGCCTCCAGGGGGCGCCACAATGCGTTTGCTGGCTGAGCGGACACCCTCATCCACTTGGGTGCCTGTAGGGAGAGACAAGTTTCCAGGGAGAAGTAAGAGGAAAGAGGTGTGGGGAAAAGAGAAGGTGAGCAGTGTTAAGCGTGATTAAGTACTTTCCTGGTGCACAAGAATCTTAACTAACCAGATCTTGAACTTTGCATATTCACGACCCTCTCCTCTCCTGAAAAAAAATATTCTTGCTAGGAAAAGCCAAATTCCTCTCTAGAGCCCATCCGGTGCTAACCTTCTGGATAATATCAGTAGGAGCATGGAGATGGCTGCTCATGCCCACTGTTGCTGGTCATGTTGTCCGTGTCCAACTACCATGGTTTGGGAGAAAAATATTTCTCCATATTGCTTGGGACCAGCAACCTCAAAACGCCAGGCCTCTTTTCCTGTGCTGCTCCCTAAGTCTCCCATGCCCTCTCCTCCGTGGTCTCTAACCCTTCTGCTCCTCCCCTTCCTTTCTCTCTATGCTGCGGTCTCACCGTTAAATGTCTCTTCTTTCTCGTTACCTTGCTCCCCTCTCACATGTACCCGCATTTTTCTTCCCCCATCTTAGGAAAACTATGGAGCAATTAAATGAGCGTTCTCTATATTCAGCGTTCTTGGAGAACTGCTGTGGCTGATAATATGGGAAACACATATGGCGAACCTTCAGTCAATGGATGCTACTGTTGCCATCATTTCACTATGGAGGGAAACTGGGCTCCCAGAAGCTGCTGCTACAGGAGCATTAAAAACTAGTCTGATCTTTCTGGGTGTCAAGATTTGCACACTCACACGCACATACACACACCACAGTTCTCACATGCTGATACAGGAGATCGTTATCAGTTCATAGTGAGAATCAGCTCCATCGACCTGCTCCAGGTTAGGTTTGATTGGCTATCACTTAAACTTGACAATGACTTGCCTGGCTTTCTTACCAGGGCCACTTGCTGATTAGGGAAACTTTCTGTTCTCAGCCCTTATCACCTCCCTAAAGAGGACACGAGCGCTGGGCTGGGAAATGCATTCCACTTGAGTTTGTAGGATAATTTTGGAGCCTAGGAATGCTTGTCCTTCCCCCCTCCCAATTTCCTCTCTCCATCAGTTCGTTCCACTCACCTGACAGGCTGAATCCCGACTGATGGAGGTTCCTCACTGGTGGGTTTGGCCGAGTGGGAGAGCCCCGAGTAGAGCCAGCTGGGGTGCCCCCTTTGGGGGTGGTGGTCAGGTCAAACACGGGCCCATCATACATGCCCCTGGGGACTGCATGCAGGTCCGCCATCTGTAATGAGAAAAGCACACCACTGTTCATTCTTTCACTCGGCGATCCGACAGGGTAGTGTGGGCTCTGGGAGGTGTCAGTTTATCAGTGAAAAGAGTATGTGGGGAGGAGTCCAGAAGGAGGCCGCAGAAACGAATGTAAAAAAAGACGCAGTGCCACAGGAAACTGATGGTGGAGATCATTCACGGAGACCTCTGGAGACGTGAGGTTCCGTCTAGGGCAGTGGTCCTCAACCTCCTCGGTGCTGTGACCCCAACCAGAACATTATTTCTGTTGCTATCTCAGAACTGTAATTTTGCTACTGTTATGGGTTGCAATGTAAGTTACGTGTTTTCTGATTGGTCTTCAACATCCGCTGCGGAAATGCCATTCAACACCCGCCCCCAAAGGGGTCAAAACCCACAGGTTGAGAACCACTAGTCTAGAGTATCAACTGAGCCTTTGATGATGTGGGGATTGGGGAGAGGAATGCTGAGGGGAAGCTACGCACTGACGTGGATGGCAATAGAGGCCACAGAGGGACGGGAGAGACAGCAATCAGCAAGTGCAGCCAGCCGCAAGCAGCAACATGACAGACAGGAAGGACAATCAGGTCAGCGGGAGCCGAGCCAGCAGGAAGGACAAGAGTATAAGACGAGGTCACAAAAGCTGTGGGGATGAGATCCCGTGGGAGACGCACCCATAGCTTCTCAGGGCTTTCCACATGTCAGGGCTGTGAGGCCCTAAACTGAGAGTCTGTGGTCTGACCCACAGACCTTTGGCTGTGAACTTGCCTGGGGACTGGGCAGCCAGTCAGCAGTATCAATCGCCCACGTGCTCTGTGCTGGGATTTTGCCAAGAGCTGGGGTTTATAGCTTGGTGAAACATGCTGAGTCTCCTACAGGCCTTTATGGTCTATGAGACAAGCATGATGACACCACCCAAGGCAGTTGCAGTGCTTGCATGCAATCCCTGTCACGTCACTAGCCATAGCGAGGCAAGGGGGATGTGTATCCCTAAGAGCCTGATGGTGAGGATGAACCACGGTGCTGCCTCCGTGGAGACCCTACAGGGAGGATGACCCACAGTGCCGCCTCCGTGGAGACCCTACCCCTGTCTTCCGTGCAGTGGCCTGGGCACAGCGCAGCTGTCCCTTCTGGAACAGGGACCACATCAGTACCCCCCACCCAGCAATACCACAGCGGTGGCTTTTCTTTGGTCCCAGAATCTAAGCTATAATTACAGAGGGTCTACCCTGGGGAGGTGTGGCTTTGCTCCTCCTTCCTAGTAAGCCACACACTGGAGTTGGGAGCGCAACTCTCACAGCTCTATTTCAGCCTTAGGGCCTGGGCTAACTTTGCCTGGTGGAGCCCTTGGGTTCCAAGAACAGTTGGAGGCTGGAGAGGGGAGAAGAAGGACTCTAAAAGAAATGCCCAGGCCCCATCTCTAAATCACCCAAACTACTGTGTGTGTGTGTGTGTGTGTGTGAGAGAGAGAGAGAGAGAGAGAGAGAGAGAGACAGAGAGAGAGACAGAGAGAGAGAGATATTTCATATGAACCACAGTAGTTAAAAGTTGTGAGCATTTTTTCCAATGGAGCAACCTTGGGCAGGCTGGAAGAGATGGTTGGGCATCAGCTTGTTCTTGTTTGAAGGCTAATTTGGGAATTATTTATACTCTCCATCAAATCCTTCTAATTTTAAGCTAAAGTGCTATAATAATGTGGAGGAATTATTTGGGAAAAGAAAAAAACTTTCTCTGGCCAAAACAGTTTTGAAAGTCCTCCTCGCAGACTGTGAAGTCTGCTCAGCATTTCTTCAACACCAAACCACTGTGTGGCTTGGGTTCTAAGGAAGACTGGTCCCCTGAACCCCAGGCACGGAATGGGACCTCATACCCTTCGTAACCCCTTCACCTCATGGGCACTCACCTTCCTCCTGGCTTTAATGCGCTTGTAGACATAGTCGGAGAAGGGGCTGCAGGGGATGAAGCGGCCCGCCCCTTGGGTCACGTGGAGGTTGCTGTCTTCCAGCATGATCTTGCCCTGGCAGATAACCACCAGAGGCGCCCCGCGCAGCTCCATCCCCTCAAAGATGTTGTATTCTGCGACCTGGATTCAGTGATGTGGACAAAGCCATGGGTGGAGGAAGAGAAGAAAGCGGAACACGGTTATCTCCCGTGTTTGGGACTTTGCTTTCAGTGTCACTAGGCACTGAGTCACCAAGTAGAGCCAGGAAAAGCTCGGGGCACACCTGCCTGCTGTGGTAGGAAACGGGAGACTGACACACCCCGGATAAAGGTGCAAAGCAGAGAGCCTCGTTTCTATTCAGATCTTTACCTGGAATTCTATCTCTGTTTCGGGCCTTATCCCACACTCAGCGAGAACCCCGAGGGCTGCGGCTACGGATGGAGCTTGTGCTGAGTGGTGCGTGCACTGACACGGCCTTTTGGCCTGTACCAGTGCACAATCCCGTTACATGACGTGAGCTGGCATTTAAGCGAAGACCGTTACTACCCAGAATAGTCTGTCTGCCGACCTCCCTCATTGGTGCAGCAGGAAGACAGCATTGCAGCAGGTGGGAAACTGGTTTGGGGCTAGGATTTGAATGTCAGCCCCACATCAGCTATGTAAATTATTTACCTTCTATGTCTAGAAATTAGGCAAAGCTACAAAAAGGAGATAAATGACCCACCCAAGCGGTATCTGCTGCTCATGAGATTCAGAGAACTGAGAGCAAGGTGCTTGACACTCAGCCACGTCAGGTACTATTTTTACTGCCAAGTACTTAGTACCTTTTTACAATACTGGATGGATTTGGGTTTCAATCTAGAAGAACTGGAGCAATTATGTCTTCCTTCAAGACATAAAGCCTGTTTGAGGTCCACTACCCTGGAAGCATGCAGAGAAGACTTGTCTCTCTCTGCGTCTCCATCCCGGAGTGACTAGAAAGAGCAGAGCCCCTCACTCAGGAAAGCAGAGGAAAGAAACAGTTTTTAAGTTGTTGTTTGTTTGTTTTTACGCCAGTAAAACTTAGGGCAAACTGGCCATGGGAGCACATGCCTGTTATACCTCACCTAGGAGGCAAAAGTACGGTTACCAGCAATTCAGATTCGAAGCCTGCCTGATCATGAGATCTTGCTTTCACAACAAAACAAAACCGCGGGCAGCATGAAAAGCTCTTGAGGGATGGGTTACTCCTGCAGTCCATCCTAGTCTTGGAGACTGGTCCACCCTGTGAGCTTAGTCCTGAGGCAGCTCCCCGCACACATTCTGCAGCCCACCAACCCATGCCTCACCGACTGGTGGCTCTTAGCAGAGACGATCTTCACGGCGTCTGGGTCCCAGATGACCAGGTCGCTGTCAGAGCCCACAGCTATTCTGCCCTTGCGAGGGTACAGGTTGAATATCTTGGCAGCGTTAGTGCTTGTCACAGCCACAAACTGATTTTCATCCATCTTCCCTGTAGCCTGTGGAAGGACAAGGAATGCCTATCTGTGCCTATGGCAGCTCTATGTATCGGTGCAAGACTGCTGAGCCCACAGCAGTGTGACCACTGAGGCCCAGCAGTACAGAGGTACCGAGTACAGATCCCACCTCTCCAGCTTGAAGGTCAGATGGGCAAAGAAACGTGTAAAGGTCAGGAGAAGGTGCAGCTAATCTTCCTGCACCCTGACATGCCAAGGCCAGTTGATATGCATGAAAGGCCTCCTCTTTTTTCAAAAGAAAGGAGGGGTGGATGAGGGGTTGGGTAAGAAGGTGGGAGGAGAAACTGAGGTCAAGATGTTTAATTAGTTAAGTAATTGAAAGATGTATAAACATGTGGCTTAAAGATAGAAGTTACTTTTCCTGAAGAATACAATTTTTATAGCTGTGTACAGAAAGCTTACTTAAGCATTTACTTCTATTAATTCCAAAAAAGATCAGAGAGCATCTACAGTAAATCGAACATGTGAGCCCTTTCTTTAGGTATACGTGTATATTTGTATGCTCAGAGGATAGATATGTAAAGCCTTACTCAGAAGGTGACGGTGGGCATCCCTACGTTATAAAATTATGAGGTTTCTTTTTTCATGTATGTATTTGTCTGAAGTTTCTCAGTGTCTTTTATTGAGCATGTATCCCGTTATCAATTAAAAACTAAAGTTAAAGCCAGGTGTAGATTACAGGTACACACCAGTAATCCCAGCACTAGGGGAGGCAGAGGCGGGTGGATCTCCATAAGTTCCAGGCCAGCCTGTCTACAAAGGGAGTCGAGGGCAGTCAAGGCTACACAGGGAAATCCTATCTTCAAAAACAAAAACAAAAAATTAAAGTTAAGTATTGCTAAATGAAGAGGGTATGCTCTGAGAAGCGCGTCAGTAGTGGTTTTGCTGCCCTGTGACCATCACTGAATTCTCTTACACTGTAGGTCATCGATGGTATCCCTAGGGGCTCCATCTCAGGGGACCACTTATGGGCTCTGGATTGACAGGAATACTTGTATGCAGCATATATAAGTTCTATATTAAGTTTTAACGAATTCACACAAGATCTGTAAATATAAAATATTCATAAAGAGAGACAAAAACAGACCAAAGCCAACCACTTATAATTTTTCCTTTCTTGAAGCAAACAGCATGAGTATGGAAAAAAAATTAACATTCAAACCCAGCTTTAGAGCTTCCTAGAAGCCAAGAACAGGGGCCTTACTGGATTGCCAGTGTAGATAAATGCAGTGTTTTCAGTTCAGAGGCACTGTATTGGCACTGCACGCAGGGAGGGACCTGTGCAGTAAATTTCTTATGATTGTACTAACATCTTCAGAAGTGTCTTCACCAATGTGACTGTTCCATTCACCAGTCTTTATGACACAAACAGGGAAAATAAAAAGATGCTACTTGGCCAGGAAACACTGAAAGTCGATTTCTTGAATAGTCTAGGATATTTACAAGCCCTCAGTGTGGGATACCCTGGGTGTGACTTGGTGGCTTTAGGCACAGATGCATTGCTTGTCATTTCAATGCATCATATCCAGCCCCTTCAAACGAGGTCATAAAGCTATTCAAACACAAAGAACGAATGCACTATCATTTTGAGCACAGGTCATTCACAGAATAGATTCCCTGTCATTTAAAGCACAGACTGCTCATGGAATCAGGTAACTGTATGTATCGAAGCCTCCTCAGAGTTCTAGAGCCCAGGAGTCATTTCTAGAAGCTGAATTCCCAAGCCACAAGAGCCACCTGGCTCCGTGGACATCTCAGCAGGTATAGACCTCACCTACACAATGAACATGCTCTCTAGGGCATCCCTAGGGAGCCGTGTCCTAGCTTGATCGGTGCCTGAGGCTCTCATTTGGTCCGGGGCCACCCTCCCTCAGTTCCTTACCACAGCCTTGTCCCAGATAACAGACATCCGCTCCTCCACACCATTGGTGCCCTCAGGGATGGCGGTGAAGTTGTCCTTCCCAATGGCTTTCTGGGCAGTGCTGAAGGTACAGTGAGCACTTCCAGAGAGCTGCAGATCCCCGCTGGAAAAAAGCAAGTTTGACATGATTAGGAGAGATGGTTGGAGACTACTGTGGGGCTAGAATCACATCTTTAGCTTGAAGTCTCTTTATCCCTTCCTAAGCTGTGTGAGCTTGGTTAAGTTTCCTCCCCTCTCTGGACTCAGCAACCCATCCAGAAAGTGAGGAAGTAGAACCAGATCATGTCTTCTGTGGCAAACAACGAAGAATTAGATAAGGGCTGGAGGGACAACTCAGTGGTTATGAACACCTGATGCTGCTGCTGCTGCTGCTGCAGGAGGTCCAGGCTTGGTTCTCAGCAGCCACATCAGGTGGCTCACAACCGGCTCTAACTCTAGTTCCGTGCTATCTTATGCCTTCTCATGGGCTCTGCAGGCGCCTGCACACCAGACACACATACAGAGAAGCAGGCAAGCATGCCCGCTTATGCGCACACACGCACATGAATGCAATCACTCCCCCCAAAATACCGAGTTATAAAAATATAAGAACTCAAATGACCAGTGGCCTGGCCTTGAGTCTCCTTATAATTACTGGCTAAGTGTCATCATGACAAATGCTTTGAGTTCTGACAAGTACCTTTAAGTGCCTTCACCATCAGGTGCTTAATCTGCAAAATGGTGGTGATAATGCCACACTCACACAGTTGTTACGAGGAACAAGGGAGCGCAGAAGCTTGGCACATTCTAGGCACCAACTGCTAGGACCACCACCCACACTGAAACTGTGTCATCAATTGAAGTTCGATGAAGAAGAGCCAGCTTTCTGTACTCAAGGCCACACCTAGACCATCCTACTCTAGCCCGCCCACCACCCTAGGTGGCCCCAAGGTGATCCCACAGAGCACATGGCTTCCTTGTACCAACCTGGCCAGCAAGGAGTTGATGTAGTCAGGTGTGGTCGGGTCAGGGCTCAGAGGTGGGGATGTCACAAATGCAGCTGCCTTGGCCCAGTTCTTACTCCAGTAATGGGTCCCATCGATTCCCAGGCTGGCAGTGATGGGCTCACCAAAGACCACGTTTCCTGGAAGGAGTAGATGTCGCGTTTGTAAGGTGTATGCACTGCTCCAGGATAGCATAGAACAGAACTCTGCTGTGTCACTGGAGGGGCAACCCCGGGGTTCAAGTTTCTATTCACTCTTTTGGCTCTGTTTTCCTATTAAACGTGAACAGTGTTGTGTTCTGTAAATAATTGCCACTAGCTATAAGGTCTGGCAGTAAACCTCCCACTATGAGGCAATTTTCAATTTGACAAGAAGAAAATAAAACTATACACTGATTATGCAGGTTACACGAATCATCCTCATTTTTTAGAATGTTAAAATGTCAAAGCAGTATGTCCTAGAACTGATGAAATGAGACACTGTTTACTTCGCAGACTTGTGAAAGGACTTAGTTTACATAAAAGGCTCTGGTACATGGTAGACGCTCAAGGAATACTAATTGTGTGTGTGTACACCAATCCTTTAGGATGCGGGTACATGGGTGTAGAGGTCAGAAGCCAAAGTTGGATGGCTTCTCCATTTTTCTCCATCTTACTTTTTGAGGCAAGGTCTCAGCTCACTGAACTGGCAGCTCACTGATTAGACAAGATTAACTGGCCAGTAAGGTCCAGGGGTCCTCTTGTCTCCATCACCCTACAGCTATGACTGTAAGAACAGGCCACCATGTCCAGCTTGTTGCTCAGGTCCTCACGCTTACATGGCAGATGTTTAGCCAGCTGAGCCTTCTCCCCAGTACTAATTTCTTTACTATCTACCCTTTTGCACCATGGAGGCCCACAGTACTGAGTATGCTCCACATTGCTTAGAACTACCACCTCCTCCTGCTACAAGGACAAGATTTGGCCCTACAGTATAAAACCCATTCAGTAGGATAATAGGCTCTTACATAGTTTTATTGTTGCTGTTTTGTTTTTTTAAATCGTTGCTGCCCTCGACTGCACTTGTCACTATGAGAAACAGTGAGTTGGGACTGAAGACCTAACAACCTGGGGTGCATTAAGGTGGAGCCCTAGGATGCTTGTGTTGAACCTTTTTAAAAGAGATAAAAGAAGAAACTGCTTTTCCCTAAAGTTGGTTGGCCCCTCCTTTCTTCACATCTGTATTTTTGGGACAACCATATGAGGATAAGCCTTGGGCATTTTTTGACTTTCTTCTTTTTCTGCCTTCTGAGTTTACACAATCACATTCTACGAGGTTTTGCCTTGTTTCAACGTCAATCAATTGTTAATGATTCCCTGGAATACTGGGCAGGGAGAAAGTCTAGCAATGCTTCCGGTTTCACTAGAAGATATCCAGATTGATTAGTGATGTCTACTACAGAATAAAGAAGAAAACAGCAGTGATTCATAACATAAAGCCTCCCTGCCTTAAGGGTGGTGTTAAAAAAATCATTGACAAAAATATAGGAGCAGGAAGAAATGAAGAAGTGAGATTTAAGGAACATACTCAGCAATTAGAAACTTTTCCTAGGGACTACATTTAGAGCAGAAGTTGAAAAAAGTAGAGATCTCCATTATATCTGAATTTAGACACTGAACTTCCCAGCTGTTCACATCAATTTCTTCATTCCAAACAGGGTGACAATAATGCCCATATCATGTCAGTGCTTCACTGTATTGCACTGTGTGTGTGTGTGTGTGTGTGAGAGAGAGAGAGACAGAGACAGAGACAGAGACAGAGACAGAGAGAGACTGGCCCGGGCCCTTGAACTTCCACATAAGTGCTTTCACAGAGTGAACCTCCACTCCCCATCTTAAGTTGTAGCTTTCTAATATTACTAATGAGAATCAGAGTTCTTAAAGAGCATTGGTGATGGGTAATGAGATCCTTGGGGACTTGATTAGGAACAGATTCAGGAAGAAGACATACTCCATCTTCCTGTTGAAAGTGTTCTTAATTCTCCCTGAGAAAGGCTTCCAAAAGATGTTCTTAGCTTTAATATCTTCAGCCCCTATTTTGTCCCAGAATTACACATCCTCTCCACCCTGGAGACACAGCTGTGTGAGTTCTCCTTAGCACAGACCCACAGATCAGAAGGCTAATGGGAGGAAGCTCCTATCATGAAATGAGGTAAGAGCAGCATATACTTGGAAGCACCCTGTCTTCAGGGTTACTCTGAGAACAGGACTCAGGCAGGGCACACCAGCAGAGGGCATGAGAGCTTAATGTATTGGGTGGTTAGGGTGGGTGTCGTGTCCTCTCCTGCTCTTCCTTTCCCTTCCTTTCCCTTCCTCTTCTCTCCACCCTACTTCCAATAAGGACAATTTGACTGTCTCCCCAGTTCTCCTGAACACCCTCCATCCAGGGGAGTAACATCATTAACTGCTGAGAGACAAAACAGGTTTACCTTGAACATGGAGAAATGGGAACTAGCCTAGAACCACACAGCTAGGAAGGCATTTTGACAGCTAGAGAGATTCCTCCGCCATAGGAAAAGGACCACCTTTTTCCAGAAAGCCAGACAGCTAAAAGATACTGCTGGAAGTCAGCTGGGCTCCACTTAAACACCCCACACAGAAGTTCCAAGGACCACTTAGCTGATGAATCGCTCATCTTGGGTCTCTCTGCTAGCAGATGGCCATCAGCGTACAGCAACGGTAATGCATGACTGCCTGGGAAATCTTCTTTCACAACCAAGCACAGCCCCCAGCTCTTGTTTCTCAACCACACTGTTTACTTGCCCAAGAGCATATCACTAAGGACAAGGAATAGACTCAGAACTCAAAAAGAAAGCTTTGAATTGGGAGCCATGACACGACTAGCCCTAGATAACAGTGGTGGACAGCATAGCAAAGGCCAAAAGGCAACAGAAACTGAGCCATGGGTCATCAAGACCACTGTGTAAAGGCCATCTCCCTCCTGTCTAAAATAACTGTGCTGACCTGTATGATCGGGTGGCATGACCTCACTCCTGCCATGAGCCCTTAGATGATGCTGTCCTTTGATTCAGAGATGTACATAGACCCCAGATAAGATAATCAAATTATTCTTAGACACTTGCTTGAGACATTTCTTCATTGCATCCTTCACCAGGAATTGAGGACAATAGATTACCCCCTGGTATCATCTATTCCTGTCACTGTTAATACTGATTGTGAAACCACCAGGGAGAAATAAGAACCAAAAAACAAACAGTGAGTGAGAACTTTAGAGAATTAATGTCATTGCTGAAACTCACCAAGCTGGCCATGCCTGAATTACGACCCAAATACTTTATTTTTATTATTGCCAGTGTTGCCTGGATATTTGACTCCTGCACTCAGCACAACCCTGACTAGCGTGTCTTACTTACAAAGCTCAGATAATGTGAACTGGCATAGGGGAGAAGCAAAGTGAGTGGAGGATATACCAAGTCTCAGAGAAATTAATTCATGCTGTTACTTCGGGCAAACTACTTAGCCTTCCTGACTCTCAGTTTATTTAGATGCCAGATGGGAGAAGCCTCAGAACACCAGTTGTAGACCAGGGCTTCCTACAGAGCCCTTTCTATTACAGTGGACAGCCAGCAAAGGAGGCAGGGAGCCTTGGGGGGCAGTGCAAATCACAAATCACCTTTCTTCCTGGCTTGTGAGATGAGATCCGCAGCACTCTTGCTCATGACCTTGGTGACATAGAGGGGGCAGTTGGTCTGGCTAGCGATGGTGATGGCCCGGAACACAGCCTCAGCTTCCAGCTACGAAAACAAGTCACCAAGAGTCAGCAACAGCACAGGCCCTACCCCCTTGCTACTTCCCCCTCTACAACAGGTGGTGACACGGTGCTTCTCAGAGGCTAAGAACCACCCAGGAGGATCTGAAATCACAGCGCCTGAACCTGCTTCTAGGACACACCTCCCGTGTTAATTTTCTGGGCTTCTCTGTGTCTCTGACCCTCAGCAAGCACAGAGAATGGTATTAAGGCTGTGTCTAGGGCACTGCCTGGCACTGTGCCCCTCTCCTTTCTTATGGACCGTAAAGACCGAACCCAAACAGAAGCCTCTGCTCCCCAGTCACAGGGCAGAGTCTCTGGGAAAACACAATCACATCATCATCCCATGAAGAGAATCTGGCACCCAAGGACATCAATCCTTTCCCTGCAGCAGTGGGGTGAGCAAAGTGTTAGTTCCAGGAAGGATTTATTATTTGAACAATTCCCAAGTTCAGGGCACAGACATCGTTTTTATTACTTATCTCCTCTAGCCTACTCCAAAGTAGAATTCATGTTTTCAAATATGCCAAGTAGCCCAGCTGCACTTAAAGCCTGAGAAGTGATGGTTTTCTCCATATTTGATTAACCAAGTGGGATCTGGGTGTGCGGGCTCCTTGAGTGCACTGACAGTGAATCCTGATCTGCTATACAAGCCAGGTAGCCTCAGGTACATCACCCCACCTCCTAATGCTGCTCTTTCCTGTCTACGTGGGAGTACCAATGAGTCCTGACACCTGGAGCTGCTGGAAGAATTAAAGGGTTAGTTCTTTTGAGAAATTAGTGCCTAGAACAGAGGCTGTTGGTGTGACTGTTGATCACAGTTTCTGAGCAATGTGAAGTCTGCTACTGCCCAAACCCTAAGCAAGTCCTGTTCAGCCTGGAGTGGAGACAGTGGTGACTCCTCATCAAACCAGCAGCCGTTCCTTTTCGTATGGATATGACTTTCTGGGCTAGCTTGCACAGACCGACACTTAAAAGCCATGCTCCAAATAGCTTACAGATGTCTAGTGGTGGCATAATGCAAACCAGTCACCCTATGGTGAATGTGGTTCAGTCTGCATGAGGAACTGGGCCGGCTGAGCTGGCATCCTCCAGAAGTCTCATAGGTTCAGGTAAAGGCCTCAAAGCCCCCAGACGGCTGGAGATCACGCTCTGTGTCTCCATCTCTGCTTTCTGGATAGCATCGCTTGAGACTACATCTGGGTGAGCTTTGAACTAAAAAAGAGCTGGTTTTTCCTGCGCTCACTCCCCCTTCAAACCTTTGCTGACCACTTCAGCAGCCCCATGACCTCACCGCTCCCGGCCCTTTGATCTCATTCCCTCCCAGCACTGGGGGGGTTATCTGCACTTTGACAGTGTGACTATCTTTAGAAGCTTACACCACACTTCAGCTTTACTCAAAAAGAGCTTCTAGAGATGGAGCTAAGTGGCCTTCTTACTAAAAAGGAGATGGGACTGGGAAAGGTTGAGGTGGTGGGGGTGGGGCGAGGCTGAAAAAACAAACCAAGGAACAGAAATAGACTCTGCCTGGGAAATCCCCTGGCTGCATCTAAAGGAATCTGTCCTGCCAGCCCGTGCCTCCAGGGACCAGCATTTAGAGTTTCACGAACAGTGTTGACCTCTATGGCCAGCTAACACTATACAAATGACTTTCCAGCCCTTCCAACATGATCAGGCCCTTGGCTGACTGTCTCTAAGTTTCAGGTTCTCTACCTAAACAATGCCATTTACCTTGAGTGGCAGAAAGAATAAAGGAGATAATACATGCGGTTAGCACTGCCAGGAGTAATTGTCTTATTAAAAGGGCCTAAAACCATTAGGACACAGATCTTGTTTTTTTCCAGAACTGTTGTGTGTGACTGGAATGTTAATCATTAATTTACAGATTGCATCAACTGGAAACATCTAAAAAGATGAGCATGTTCTATGTCCCCATCCAGATGCCCTAATACAAGTGTGCTCAGCGTGCAAAAGTGTATATGGCCTCCTTGTACGCAGGAGATTTTCTCTGTACTTGTGTTGCATTTATATTTCTTACAGGCTCTAGAAGAGATGAGGAAACAACACAGTCTTTAGGTTCTGCTTCTTCTGCGGAGTTTAGCATAACAAACAGGATCAGCTTCATTGACTTAGGGAGCCTTGGGGATTACTCAAGGTGGTAGATCAGAAACACCTCGCTCTCAGATTGGCAGGCAATGAATTGAAGCTCTGAGGCCTGTGCCCAGCAGCAGTCGCTGGCATGACACATGAGTCGTCGGGCATGATGCCTATGAAAAGTCTATTTGACCGCCTTTCCACACTGTCCGGTGTTTTGCAAGACTCCAAGCAATGTGAAAATGTGCATAAGAATGTTTCCAGTGCTCAGGAAGATTAACAAAGACAGACATAACACGTGCACTCCTACTGAATTCGTAGGGAGGGCAGAGCAAGTGAAGGTCAGAGATGAGCATCTCCTTTACACTCCTTTCTAGCCAGAAGAGGTGTTTGAGAGAAGTCTTCCAACAAGGCTAGCGGTGCCCACAGATTCTACCTCCTTTCAGCCATGCGTGTGCCGAAACTGTGTGTGGACGCGGCTCAGAAGAGTGGGCCCAAACAGAAACATTGCAGCTATAAAGTGAGTGGCAGGGTAGGGCTATGACAATCAGTGCTTCCCAGGAAACACTGGTGAAAAGCAAACCTCACCGCCATCCTGGCTTTTCCCTGTGTAGCTCTGCTGTTCCACTCCCTGAAACCCACCTCTTCTGGTCTGCTCAGAACGTGACCTTCTGGACCGGTAATCCCCATTTCCAGCATCCGGGCCTGCTCCTAAAATAAGAAAAATAACATGAAGAAAGTTCTTAGATGACCTCAGCCATGATTTGGGAAAATTATAACCTGTATACTCTGGGCTAAGATGCGCTTAAGGGGGAAAAGAATAAAATTTAGATGTTGGACAAATTCCTTAGCATGTGCCATGTCTACCAGATTCATTTGGGTGGCTTTAATCCAGATACAGATTTCCAACCTATTCTGGCCTAATGAGAAGCTACTGTGCAAATTCTGACAAATCATGTTTTAATAACCACCTCTGGGTTTGTGTATTTTAAGTACATGGATTACATGAATGGATTCAGAATTCAACCAGACAAAATCATGCCTCTCAACAGCATAAGCCCAGTTACTGTTTTGATGAAACTCTATTTATGATATACGGATGACAGAAAGGCCTGCTTCTTGTGGCTGGATCTTACCATCCTACGAACATTGTTATCTACAAACAATGTTTATGGAGAAGCAGGTGGCTGGTGAGCACAATTAGGAGTGGCAGAACCCCTAGGTTGCCTTTGTCTGCAGTTGCACCCTGGAATTATTAAGGCTAGTTTCTAAAAGCCTCTGCTCCAGTGCTCTGAGCCTAGTGGGCTAGAATTCTGTCTTACCAGGTAACTAGGCAAAAATTTAGCACAAAAAGATTCTTAGCTGCCTCCTATTTGTCAGTAATTCAAACCAAGAGGGTTAAAAAAATGTGCCCATGTGGTAAGTAACCTCAGGGTCAGTCTTCAAAGGTCAACTTGATTGAATTTTAAATCTTCTAGGAGACCAGATTTGTGAGGCATACCCCTGGCTGTGTATGAGGATTAACTGAGGGTGAGCTGAAGATTTGCTCCAGACAAAAAGGAAACAGGATGCAAAACAGTATCGAATGCCTTTAATCCCAGCACTTGGGGGTTGGAGGGAGGGCAGAGGCAGGCAGATATCTTGAGTTCAAGGCCAGCCTAGTCTATAGAGTTCCAGGATAGCCAGAGCCACACAAGAAAGCCTGCAGAACTGGGACTTACTATACCACATACCAAAGAGCCTTCTCGAAAACCTCAGGGGCTGACTTTGTTTTGTTTGTTTGTTTTTTCAAGCAAACCCCCATTTTGTCTTCTGGCCATTCTCGTTGATTGAATTCTAGACTTTTTTTTTTTTTTTTTTTTTTTTTTTGTAAGCTCCACTCAAGGTCCTCCCTAATGAGGCATGTGAGGAATAAAGTTTACAAAGTTTACAGCGAGTTTATCTTCCACCTTATACAAACTCTGTCCTGCTCACCTGTGTTAACACAGGAGGAAGGCGGTTTAGCAAGGCCCTGGTCGGGAACCTCACTGTTTCTAAGTGTTCATCACAGCAATAAGAACGTCACTATTCTGGTCATAGTACACCATTGGCCTGCTCCAATGATGATGTACTGGCCTTGCTTTCTTTTTGCTTGGGGCATAAATATGGAGTGAATGTTTCTTTTAAACATTTTTATGTATCTTAATTAAAATGTCATTACATTATTCCCCCCTTTCCTTCCTTCTAACCTTCCCATATACCCACCTCTTACACCCTCTCAAAACTATGGCCTCTTGGCCTCTTTTTCCTTAATTATAGTTATTACATATACATAAGCGCAAAAATATAATCAACCTGTTAAGTCTCTTTAGAGGCTCTTATATGTACATAATTTCAGGCTAACTACATTGCTCTGGATAACCAGTTAGGGACTCATCCTGGGAGAGACGAATTCTCCCTTTTACAGCAGCCATTTGTTGCCTGTAGTTCTTTGCCTACGATGGTTGAGGCCACATGAGAATTTCCCCTTCAGAGTTATCATATCTATTAGTGTTCTTGTCTGGGTCCTGTAATGTGGTGATATCACGGGAGAAGTTTCCCTGCTGTTTCTAGGAGACACAGTCTCAGAGCAGATGTCCTAGTCCTGTGGTTCATACAATCTTTCTGACTGTCCACGATTCCCTGACTTTTTCAGGAGCCGTGTAGTAGGCGTACCCACCGAGACTTCAGTTCCATGTGTAGTAGGCGTACCCACCGAGACTTCAGTTCCATGTTTGACCAGGTGTTTTTCCATGATTGTCTCTGTTTACTGCAAAAAGAAGCTTCTTTATTTGATGAGGAGTGGGGAGCTAAAATTCTCTGTAGGTAGAAGTACATTCCTCAAATGTGTCATTTATGAAACCTCAGCCTAGCTTGGAAGATTTGGAAGATTTCAAAGTTGTCCTTGTCTGTACCCAAAGGGGACTGCATTTTGCTCTTACTTTTGCAGAAGTATAGCATGAAACTCTGAGGACAGCAGCTGCCTTCATTTAGATGACGTGATATTCTTCAGCTCAAGCTGAATCTAATAAATACACATGAGAAACTCATCCAAATGGAAAAATGCCCCATTTCTTTTTCCTGATGGAGAACAGATCTTCCAAAGGTCGAGAAAGGGTGGGCTGAAGAGGAAGGAGCCAGGGAGCATGGGGGCTGAGGGGCCACAAGAGGGGAAAGGAACCACACAATGGTGCTTTGACCTGGAGCCCTGTAGTAGCTACAGGCCTGACATAGAATTTGGAGTCAGGATTCTGCAGCAGAGGGAGAGCTGGGACCTCTGGCTGCTGGGCTGAATGCATGGAGAGAGGGGAGGACTAAGTGCTTTAGCAAGCATGGGTCCATCCCCTGAAAGCAAAGCATACTGGACCCTACATATGAACAGATTTCATTAAGTTTGAGTGTGGGTGAGACATGGGAAGAAAGCAAAGAGTCCTAATTAGCTTTCTTGGTCATAAGTCAGAGAAAATTGCACGCCTCCTCCACCCTCAAAACGTTGCTGAGACTATGAAATCACAACAGCTAAAGCCCTGTACTATGGGACACGAAAAACAACGGAACCCCAGACACATTATCTCTGAGTAAAGATGCCTCAGAACTAAAATATGGTTCTACCAGTTATTCTTCATGATTTATAAGCTGGTGATGACATCCTGCTAAGCCTTGATGACCTCATTTACAAAAGAGACAAGGCCATAGCATTTTAAAAGGTTGGAAGTCAGCTGGGCGCAGTGGTACAGACATTTAATCCCAGGACTTGGTAGGCAGAGGCAGGCAGGTCTTCATGTTTAAAGCCAACCTGGTCTGTATAGTGAGTTCCAGGACAGCCTAAGCTACGTGGTGAGACCCTGTCTCTGTAAAAAAAAAAAAAAAAGAAAAACAAAAAACAACAGTTTGGAAGAAGACCAAGTAAGAACATGCTGCCTGGCACACAGCAGCAAACTCTCACCAAATGGTGCTTCCTACAAGGAAGGTAACAGGCCCGAGATAAGAGATAGCCTATACACTACTCCTGACCACAGTCACCAGCTCTTAGTTATTTTCAGAAGAAGAGGAGTGTAGTCCAGGGTGAAGGAGCTATGCTCCTTACCGTTCATACCCCCTTTCCTTGCTGGTTCTCCCTTGCAGAGGCCAGTGTTGAGTGTACTTCCCCGAGGAAAACACATCTGTGCATCTCTTCCATTAAGCAGCCCAGGAGATGGATAGGAAATTACTCTGCTTCCTACAAATGATCAGTCTGGGCCTCAGAGCTCTTGCTTTCATCATTCTTTCATCAAGTTACTCAATATGATTTCTAGGAAACCAGTAGATGATGGATCCCCACAAGGCCTAAATTCATTATTATCTTAGGCTGTGAGCTCTGCTGCCCTGGATCAGATTTCTGGATGCGGAGAAACACTGCCTTAGGCTAGAGAATGTCATGTAGCTCTGGCTCATTTTCAGCAAAGAACCTTCCCTGCTCCCACTCAAGGAAGGGTATGTTCTGAAACTCTCCTCTCTAGTATAGTCTGGCCCCCAAGACTGTGCAGTCCTCTGTAGAATCTTCTACTTTCTCCTTGTTTGTTTTCCTCCCTTACTCTACTGCCACACCCACTCCAGCCTCTGGTGTAGCATATCAATAGATAGCGTTACTCAGACTAAGAGATATGTGTCCTTCGGGATTATGCTCTCTGAAGGTCCCTGGCAGACCCCCCCCGCCTGGCAAAGAGATGCGTTCTGAGATTTCTATGCTTTATTGGTTGCGGTTGTGAGGCTGGATTAATGAGTTTTTTGATCTTTCTTTATGACTCCTGAAACAGCATAACTAACTTTATAAAGAAATTTATCATTAATAAATTATTAAAGGCTTTAATAAGAATAAAATGTAAAAAGAATAAACAAGAAAAGTGATAAATCAGATTCAGTATCAATAGGCACTATAAGAATAGTAAAAAAAAATAATAAGCTCCTTCTTAGGAAAAAATAGCATGAGAAGTACAGCTGGCTTGAGCTTGCCCCCCCCCCCCCTTATTGTCTTGTTCCTAGGGAAGATCATAAATCTTTAACAGGACATATGGAAGGATGGTTAACAAAGGTGTGTTTAGACTTTGGCAGGCATCTGACTTAGCTCCTGACTTTCCTCTTCATTGGTTAGCAATAATGAAACTGCATTTGAGGTTTCTTTCCCTTTGTCTGCTTTGATCAAAAGTTTGCAGGCTAAGATTTCTTGTAGGCACTCCCCTATGTTAAAATGTAAGCTTTGTATTCTTGGTAAAAGTCTAAATGTTCTGGGAAGTAGGCCAACTTTAAGGTGCCTTTTGTAAAATCATTATAAAAATATCAGCTTGACTTCAGTAAAATTGCAGCAGATTCCAAAGCCTCACTGGTCTCTGTCTGTCAATTTGCCGAATCCGTGTCTTCCTGTCCAAAGCCTTGTTCTCCCTCAGAAGCTGGGAGCCCGACTGGGCCGGTCCATGGCACTCTACCATTTTTTCTTTCTTTCTTCACACAGACTGGGAGACTCTAATGTTTATTTCAGTGCAGTTTTCTTCTAAGTCAGGATCTCCCTGTACAGCTATGGCTGGCCTTGAACTAACATTTTTCTTTCTTCAGACTCCTGTCTTTACTGCTGAAGGGGTTAGGTTGCTCCTGGGCTAGGATGATACTCCAGGGCATCACCAAAAGCTTTATTGAAAGGTATTTTGGGTAGCATCAGGGGCACCCTTGAGCATTTGTAACCTCTGATCTTTCCTATACTTGCTTCTCCTAATCTTAAACCAACATTGCCCTGCAGATTCTCCCGTATCCAGGTGCTTTGCAAGGGTCTTCTTTGTGACCAGTTCAGAGTACAGAGCTTCTCTGAAAACTCCATATTGCTCAGCTGCCAGGGCATGAGACCCCTGTGGATCAGCAGCCAAGTGATCCCAGGCTGTGGAGCTAAGGTCTTTCTGCCCTGCTACTGTAGCTGTTTCGGAATTTGAAGGTTCCCTTAGCTCATGTGGTGATGTCACCACCAGGCTGGCTCAAAATGGCCCTATTCATATCACCCTGTTGGGTCAGGATGCCTTGCTACTTAGATTTGTCTATAAAGCCTAGAGCACACTCGCCAGCAAATTCACCAAAACTGGGGGTGTCTCCAGCATCTGCTCACTCTTAATCATGCTGATTTTCACCTCAATCTCATTCTCCTCCCCGTTGTGGAAATTGGGGTTATGGTAATGGTACTTGCATGTCATGGTCTAAACTCTGCAGAAGTAGTCTCGCCTTCTCCAACAAGGATGTGATCAGGGTAGCCCAGTGGTTAATGTCTGTCTTACTCTCTGGAGAGGTTGGCAATCCGTGGAAGTTTTTCAGGACACATAGCTGGGCTTCTCCGCAGTCCCAATCTAGCGCTGAGGTCTGGAAGGAATCCTGGAGTACTATGTTCTTCAGTCTTCCATCTTTGTTGAAATCCCAAAGAACTTGGTCATACTACCAGTGACGAAGCAGCAGGGTAGGGTGACTTGCCAGCAACAATGAGGACAAGCAGCCAAAAAGCAAAGTTATTTTTTCTAATGCGTCCATTTGGGCTGCCACTGGAAGGTACCACCCACATTTAGGGAGCGTCTTCCACTACAAATGGTTAGATTAGGAAAATCCCTTGTAGCTGGGTATGGTAGCACACACCTTTAACCCCTGCATTCGGGACAGGCAATCCGATCTCTGTGGATTTTATGGGGTCAGTATGGTGTACATAGAACGTTCCAGAGCTACTTAGTGAGATCCTGTCTCAGAAGGGGACGAGGGAGAAATGAAGGAGGGGCGGAGGGAGGAAGAGAGAGCCTTGTGAAGAAGTAATCAGGGGTTTGTTTTAGTTGATTCCAGATGCAGGTAAGTGGACATCCAAAATCACAGTCACTCTTTTCTTTCTACTCCAACAGGAAGTTTCTAGGTGTAAACTGTTTTATGTAGAGAAGCCTTACTAGGTCACTTTTAGACACACCTGTCTTCACATCATAGCTAAATAAATACGAGTTGGAGCCGCTGTCTCAAAATTAAAACCAAGTTTCAAAGAAGACTTCAGGCAAACTATAAGCAAAAGCTGTAAGTTTAGTAACATAATTTATGGTGATATTAATCTGAAGATTAATTCTGGTTGTTTTTTTTTTTTGGTTTTCTGAAACACGGTCTTACTATGTAGCTTTGGGAACCCACAGTGATCTTCATGTCTCTGCTTCCTGACCTTGAAGATTAACTCTTTGTTTTTGTTTGGTTTGGTTTTGGAGAAAGGGTTTCTCTGTGTAGATTTGGCTGTCCTAAAACTTGCTAGGTAGATCAAGCAGGCCTCAAATTCAGAAAGCCAACTGCCTCTGACTCCAAAGTACTGGGGTAAAAGGCATGTACTACAACTGCCTGGATGAGGATTAATTCTTTTTTTTCACATTTATTATTATTATTATTATTGATTACACTTTATTCATTTTGTATCCCCCCCAAGCCCCTCCCCATCCCACCCTTCCTCCCCTTTCTGCATACATGCCCCTCCCCAAGTCCACTGATAGGGGAGGTCCTCCTCTCCTTCCTTCTGATCTTAGTCTATCAGATCACATCAGGATTAATTCTTTAAGAACTAAAATACATTGCTTCCAGCCTGGAATGAAAAGCTCACTATTACATCTCACTACCTTGAATATTTGATGATCCTCTTTTCTCTGGAGGCCTGGTGTTAGGATTACAAGTGTGAGCACAGAACTGTGTTAGAATTACAAATGTGAACACAGAACTGTGAGGTTGTTTTTTTTTTTTTTTTTTTTGATTGTTTGTTTCTGTTTTTGGGGGTGGGAATGTTTTGAGATAGGGTTTCTCTGTATAGCCTTGGCTGTCCTGGACTCACTCTGTAGACCAGGCTGGCCTCGAACTCACAGAGATCTGCCTTTCTCTGCCTCCCTGAGTGCTGGGATTACAGGTGTTCGCCACTGCACCCAGATAGTGTGAGCTTTTTTACTTGGATTTTGTTTTTAGCAATGTGCTTATGGCAGAGTCTTGAACTTGGGGTATTCAAATCATATTGAAGAGAGGAAATGGATGGGCTGCCGACCCAAGCTCACACAGAAAGCTTGTTCCATGAGGTTACCTGGGCAATGATATCTCCATTCTCAGCATGAACTTGAGCGATGGCCCCCAGCTCTCCCAGGCAGGTGAAGATCTCATAGAGCTGAAACAGAAATGAACAGCCTCACAGCCTCTTTTAGCAGCCTTGAATAAAGGCCAATTACTAAAACCAGAACTGAAACAATGCCTTAAAACAGAAAGGAATTAGCCGAATGCAGTGGCACACGCCTGTAATCCCAGAACTCGGGAGGCAGAAGCAGGCAGATCTCTGTGAATTCAAGGCCACTCTGGTCTACAAAGTGAGTCCATAACAGCCAAGGCTGAAGAAAGAAAAGAAAAGAAAAGAAAAGAAAAGAAAAGAAAAGAAAAGAAA